TCTAGTTGTACAAAGACTAATTTTAGAAATATACAATATCACACAAATAAATCCAAAAAGTATATACTCTATAAAAAACTCTGTTTGGAAATTCTGAATAGAGAGATAGTATGATCTTTAATAATATCATCTGAAAAAATTTCAATTTAGAACAGAAAACCTGGAACAGATAACCTATATGGACAAGAATCCTAGATAAAAAGATTCACCAATTTGACTACTAATTAAACTGGATATAAAATCACATCATATAAAACTAACTGGATTAGTAGTATAAAAAGACTTGCAAGAATATACAAGATACTGATGAGATTGTAAAGAAGAGTACTAAGATTGTATGAACTCTATAAAGATATAATGGTTTAAGAATTATCTTGATTATAAGTTTTGATCTTGACTATAGTGATATCAAATCAGCTAGAAATTAGGTAACAGAAGGCTTCAATGGATTTAATACAAGGTTAAAGGTTTCTTATATAAGTAAACTACTTTAAAGATCTAGTGATCATAATAAATATATACTGATGAAAACTAGAACAGTTGGTAGAGTAGATAGGTAAGTGGATATAGGAACCAGAGTGTTTAAATAAAGAACCCACAAGTAGGTTCTAAGTATGGCAACTAGTATAGAACCTTTAGGTAGACTACTTAAATTAAACAATGACTAAAGTTGTATAAATAATTTGTTGTATATTCTTCATATAATTGCCTCTTATGACTGTTGTAATAATACAATCACAAAGCTGAAATATACTATCAATAAAAACCTAAGTCACAAGTACTCACCTTTAATATTAAAAAAAAAAAAAAAGAACTATTATAAAGGTTAATATATTAATTATAATGTTTTTTTGTAATTTGACTTTTTGAAAAATTTGATTCTGATAACTATTAAAAAAAATTGTAATAATGACCTTACTATTAATATTTAAAAATATATATATATATATATATTATAAATAAATTATTATATATTTTATTTAAAAAATACCAAATATAATTTAATTTTCTAGGCAAATTTGTCTGAAATACGGTTTAAAAAATAATATAAAATAACGAATCGCAAATTGTGTGGATTGATTGGCTAATAATCACATGTAGATCTACAAATTGATCTATGAGGCTAGCCAATCAGACGAATTTCTGTCAATGAATCTATGGGACCTTTCCTCACATCGCTTTTCAATTTTTTACAGAAAGAGAAGACATGTGTGATGGTATGTAACGAACGTACGTGAGCATATTCCGTAGCATTTAATCAGGTGCTACAAATGCAAATTACTTTTTATTTATTCACTATATTCAGGCCTAAATCTAACACAAAATGTCAATTCATTTCAGATTTTTATCAACTTGGCTTATTGTTTTTTATTTCTCCTTGGAAGATTGACTTTAAGATTCTTTTTTGGTCAATTGAGAGTTATCGAAAGTCAGGTATACTATTAAATATTATCTCTTCATAATCTCAATTTGATACCGATTTTAATTGATTTTATCATTCACTCTGTATTTTTAGCATATGTATGATAGACTACTCAATTTTCTTTTGTTCAAAGTGGTTTTTGTGGGTGCAATATTGGAACCAAAATGGGAGGAACTACTTATTTGGACAGCATGGTTTACCATTCTAGGATTCTTGAGGATCTTTAGCATGCTTTGTCGAGATAGATTTGAACATGTATGTATGCATAATATAATTATGTTCTTTGAAATAATTAAAGTTCATTAATATTATTATTGGTTTTTGTAGCTTGCATTAACTCCAAATACACCAGTTCAAGATCATTTGCGCATTTTGTCACTTTTGATCCTTATCTTAATCTCAGATATATTTTGGTTCATAATGTGCATATCAATTTTCAGATCGATGTTATTACTTCTGACATTTGAAGTAAGTGATAAAAATATTTTAAACTGTGCCAATTACGTTCTTTATTAACTGATATCTATGATGTTTTGTTATTAAATCAGTGCTTTACACTTTTCTTGGATACTGTTCAAACACTCGTGAAATATGTAATTCATCTAAGGGATCTTTCTAGAACTGGTGTTTGGGAATCTCGTGGGCTTCTTTTATACTACACAGAATTTGTCACGGATACTTTAATACTTGTTGCCACACTTGGACACTACCTGCATATAATGGTGAGACTATATACATCCTATGTCTGTATTAAGAACATTAAAATTGATTTTTTTTTTTCATACAGCTTTGGCACGGTGTGTCATTCACTCTAATTGATGCTGTATTATTTTTGAATATGCGAAGTGTTTTCAACAATCTCAGAAAAAAAATCGCAGCCTATTGCAATTACCGACAAGCAATTATCAATATGCAAACCCAGTAAGGAACTAATTTATAAATAATAATTGGTAAAAGCGCTTTATAATTCATAAAATTAATATATGCAGGTACCCAAATGCGACTGATTTAGAACTAAACGAATATAACGATGATTGCGCAATATGTCGGGATTCCATGGCCTCTGCCAAAAAATTACCATGCGGGCATATGTTTCATTTGTATGTTTAAGCATTTAACATTATTTATTCTTATTTATTCTTATTGAAAACTGATTGCGCGTTTGTTTAAACAAGATATTGTCTTCTTTCTTGGCTGGAGCAGCATAGTTCGTGTCCAACTTGTCGGCGGCAATTGTTAAAAGAAGATCCGATAAAACAAAATCTAATACACATGGAAGTTCCATTTCTTTGAATAGTGATGGCTCGTCTGTTTGTTTTGCAATGCACTAATTACCCGGCTTTCAAATTTTGGCAATGCAACGTCCGGATGTTCAATATTTATTGTGGAATTAGGGTTCCTATAACAATATTCCGTTGTATAGCCATAATTGAGCGACGAACAACTTGAATGGGCATCTTGGAATCGCAGAGCAAATTGAAGCTGCTGAAAAAAAAAAAAAAAAAATTAATAAATAATATTAAAATAAAAATATTAAAATAATAAAAGAATTAAAAAAAAAAACAAAAACAAAAAAGAATAAAAATTAAAAAACAATAAAAAAAAAAAAAAGCAGCAATGGCGAATTATTGTTAATTATTGAATGTGACATTAACCAAGTCTTAGAGAATTAGGCTTAAAGAAAATTACTACTTCGAAATCTGTTTTACCCATGACTTTATGAATTCAAATTATTTTTCTAGCCATAATCAGGGCAGAAGATACCTATCCATTTTCCGATCATGTAGTCCATTGTTTCAAGTGTCTTTTTTGACACATAATGTAAATAATTTGAATCAAGAACGATATTTTTAAATGACCGGGAAATGAATAGAGTATTTTCTGCCCTGGTTATAATCATGACTCCAAAGAGAAATGTAGATAATAGATAAAATTTATTAATATATATCATTAAATACACACATTAAACGATGTGGTACTGTTTTATTGAATTTAAGTGATTACATTAATGATAATTTTATGATTTAATTTTGGTTGCAGATGGAAAGAAAATTAGGAATCAAAGTACGGAAAAGATAAAGACTTATATTTTCCACTAAAAAATTCTTGCAGTGAATATTTATATAGGAATGTTCATATGCATAACGTAATTGAAAGAACTTTTTATAGTTTAATTGCCAATTAAGCTTTCATATCCGTTTCTTAAGGTCTTGAATGTTAATACCAAACTTTGAAAAATCGTCAGTATCAAATAGAGGATCTAAAAGCGCCTGTATATATAATTGTTACCAAAAAAAATGGCATCACAAAAAAATAAAATAAAATAAAATAAAATCACAAACTTTGCTGGCTGTAATTCTCTCTATGGATGGATATTTTAGAAATTTTGAAATAAATTGTACTTCCTGTGACTTTGCTTTAGGTAATTGTCTAATTGTAAGTCCATCACAATCTTTTTTAATAAAAGTAAACTTGCCATAATCTGGAAAATCTAGCATCTCCTTTATAAAAACATCAAATATTAAAATACATAAGATAAACAATGAACAATACTAAATATAGATTACTTACAGGCCAAGTTGATTCATCAGGGACTCCTAATATGCGAAAGATTTCGCTTAATTGTTCAATATCATTTTCGCCATGAAACAATGGTGAGCTGGCAGGTTTTGTAAAGAATTCAGTAAAGATACATCCAAGTGACCATAAATCGATTGCATTAGAATAATTTTCAGCTGAGTAAAGAAGTTCCGGAGCACGATAATATCTATAAAACCAATCTAAAGTTATAAAAAAATAAATAAATAAATAAAAAGAATTAATCTTCTTAGACTAACCTTGTTCCAACTTCGAATTTCATTTTGCCTCTAGGTTCATGACCATTATTAGAATTCACCCATGCCATTCCTAAATCAGAAATCTTGATAACACCGGAGTCACTAATTAATATATTACTTGGTGATAAATCTCTATGTATCACACCATTGTTATGAATATGAACAACACCATTGAGTATCATCCAAATACAAGACTTGACCTCGTGTGGTGAAAGAGTATAATCTTTCAACAAAGATTTTAATGTTAAAGGACAATAAGGAAATAAAATTGCATTAACATTCGGTTTGATATTTAGTAATTTGGAAAAAGATAGTGACGACGTTATTTCTATTGATTCTTCTAATGAAAATATTGATATGATCTATTATTATAATTAGAATTTAAAATTTTTAAATAAGTATTAATAGAATTTGATAACAAATAAAAAACATACATTTTCATGTTGAACTTTGCGTAAAATTTCTATCTCGTTTGCAATCCGTTCTTGCACAGGTCTTTCATATTTAACTTCCTTAGCTCTTTTAATAGCAACAAATGTTTCTGCTGATTTTTGTTTGGCTTTGTATACAATGCCAAAGGTACCGTCTCCACAAATTTCAAGAATCTCGAAAGTATTAGTGCCCATCAATAAAAGATCAGCCAGTGAGACAAAGATTGTCGATGGAAATCAGATAAAATTACCGATATAATCTGATAAGATAGGGGTTGGATTTTCGTTTCGCTCCCCATATGAAATAAAATGGTAAGAGGTTCATCAATATTATCTTTTTTTAATGAAATGTTCTAAGTATTCTCTACTAAAATAGACACAGCAAGACGAAAATTTCACTTCTCTCTCAAAACTTTATAACCATGCTTCTTCTTTCACAGCAAATCTCGAGGATGGTGTTCTTATTGATGTAATACTTTTAGTTTCATTTTCTAAGCACATATTTATGAAAAAATGAATAATTTTTATTATCTTTTACTATAGGCCACTCCAAACGTAACACAGTCTCAAGCAACGACTGTTCATAAATTATTGCAAAATGTAAATTTGTTATTGGCAAAGCAGCAGGAAAACACAAATTCTAAGAATGTGGTTGGCACTGAAGCCGAAGAGAAAAACGTCAATGAAGACAATACAACAGCTACTGCAGCAAATAGAGTAACAGGTAAATTCCTAGTTTCGAGAAAATGTTTCATAACTTGATTTATTCTGCTCAAGAAACTTTTTCTATCAAACAGTTACCTTTCAGGATTATAACTATGGGTTTACTGTTTTAGAAAATAAAATTTATGCAATAAAACGGTTAAATTAGTCAAGTTGGACGATTCTTTCGCCATTGTGAGCTAGAACCTCAAGCCGGGCCAAACTGAGATTTAATCTTAAAAAACAATACATTGTACTAGGAAGCGAAACCTTGATAATGTTCGAATTGTTGTGGTTATATTTTTACACGCTTTTCAAAAGTGAACACCTAATTACACCCAAGATTATTGTTGTGAATAATGTTGACTTCTTCCATATTATCACACTCGGTTTAAAAAAAGCATCTACATAATTTATTCAAATTTCATATTCATCCTGAATAATGAAGAAATCCCTGTAATACACTTCAACATATTAATTTGTGAACCAAATATATACATATATATTAAATCAAAGTTACAAAAGCATCAATCGTAAATATGCATTCTTTAACAGTATTAAATAAATTTCAGTTATTATCCCTGTTATTTTAAATAGGAGATTTTTAGTCGGTGCGCTACGGTATAATATACATTCCTTGATATGAATGACGCTAAGGGAAAACTAGACTTCGGCTTTCGATTTATTATTTACATGACTCAAGGCATATAAGATATGTAAGTAATTTAATTACGTCGCCGCTCAGGAATGAGCCCGGTAAATAATAAATAAACTTGAGAGAACAACACTCTGGACAATCTTTAATTGTAATAAGACCCAGAGGATCACACCCAACTTCATGCATGGATTCAACATGCGCCATGAGTAATTGAACATTAATGACATTAAAGTGATAAACATATAGAAATTTGTTATACAATTATAAAATTGCTTTATTTTTTAATAAATTGTTTCGTATAATGAATCTATATTGATTAAATTTTATTATATGTTTAAAAGAATAAAAACATTAAATCACAATATAAAAGCAATACTAACCAAATTTACAATATAATTTGATTTATAAAACAACCGATCTCGTGGAGTAATAAAAAAGTGTCATAATCAAATCAGCTTTACCTAATATCAATACCTGCGTGCTCTTTTTGACTCTCGATCATACGATCTCTTATATTTTTCTCTATATTTCTGATCTCTCTGATCATCCTTCCTCTTGTTTCCATTTTCATTCGTATCCTCCATCCTTTTCTTTCTCGCCATCTCATCTAGAATAATCTGTTCCATAGCCGTTAATTTCTTTGGCTGTTCTTTTTCCTTTTCTTTTTTATGTACATTCAAAGAACCGGATTTTTTAGCTAACGCACTAAGAGACATTTTTTGGGAAGTAGGTTTATTAAATGAGATGCTAGTGTGAGTGTAACCATTAGTAGAAGGTGTTGTGGTAGATGAATCGGTTTTAACGGTAGAAGACGAAACGGAAGATTCTGATTTTACTAATGAAATGTTGAGTTTTATCTTATCTTCTTCATTACTTCGTTTGAGTTCCGTAAATTTTTCCTAAAAAAACGAAAAAAGTGAACACATTTAAAATAAATAAAAAATTAGAATTCAAATTAAAATGCGCATATGAAACTATATAACTACTTCATCTAGTCCCGGATTATCAGCTTCTTTCTGTGCCCTCTCTATTTGCTCTTCTATTAATCTGCGAGCTCTTTCTTCCTCATCCTTTTCTGCTCGCTCTTTTTTCAAAATTGCCTCCTAAATAAACGAATGCAAAAAGATGTTATTATTTATTTAACAACGGTATAAACAAGGTTACACGATTAGTCAGCAATAATTAAATCACCTGTCTAGCCAAAGCCTTAGGACTGTTGTCAATCCAACTAATAAACCACCCTTTTGGCGTTTCATCAACGGCACAAGTACCTTCTCTGCCCAGATGTTTTACAAAATCAGTCAAAGTATCCCAAATTGTACCGTTCATGTGTATATGATGTCTATCAGAGATATATTCTTGATATACAAGATTTGCATGAACCCTCTTGGTTCCCCATCTTAATTAGAAAAGGAAAATAATGGTAAGGTTAAATGTCTAAACAAAATAAAATGATGGCTTAGTAAAAGTCACCTTCTAGAGAGCAATTTGATGAAGTCATCATGGAATTGTTTAGAATAACCTTGCATATACATTGAAGGACTCTCTTTCAAGAGATCCATTTGGCGAAGATGAGATTCAGAACGAATATGACACTATAAGCAAACATGCAAATATTTATGGTCAACAATATGATTTAAACCGCAAAAAAAACAAAAAAAAACAGGCAGTTTAAGATAAGAAAAACAAACCTGATATCCATTTTCGTCACGACATTGCTTTTGACACATTTGGCAGTACCATTTTAATTTTTGGAGACCTTTGGCCTTTAAATAAAAATGAAGAGTTACAACTCAAATTTGTCAAAGTAATAATCAAATAAATATTTGTCATTGCAATACTTTTATGCGATTTGCGATTGCTTTCGGTGTTAAGAATTCGTGTTTCGGCATGTTTCCAGTATTCAAAGGTACAAGTAAAAGTGTAAAGGGTAGTTATATATTCGATCCATACATATACATTATCACATGACTCGTTGACGTCATTGGGCACCCAGAAAAATACAGGTTAACTTCTGATTGGTCAATCGCTTACAATCGTATTTATACAGTTTAAAAAAAAAAAAAATTAAACCCACCTCTATCTGCAAACAGTTACTATGCAAAATAATTCCACACTTGGAGATACTTCACTTAGGCCGTTCGAAGTTGATTCTTCGGTTAACATCACCCCCCCTTAGCTGAAGGCTCTCCCGAGAAATGAACAACCAATCAAAACGCTGGATAACTCTCACCAATCTCTTAATTTACATCGACCAATCAAATTGTCTCATTTCTCATTCTATATGTTCGTTTAATTTTATCCTTCCAAGAGTTCTAAAAGTATGTTAACCGAAAATTCAATTTCAAGCAGCCTTAGGTAAAATTTCTACGTATAAGCGGAATTGAAATTTTCGCTTATTGTTATACCCAACTGTCTACAGCTATTTCAGTATTGCTTGAAAAATATTATTCTTTAGATTATTAGTATTATCATCAAAAATTAACTACCCCAAGAACTCTAAATTCTTCGATACCAAAATTATTAAAAGTCTGTTAATATTAGGATTTGCTGCTAACAAGCTATGTAGTAAAATTGCTTAAGTAAAACTTTTTGGTAGATGGATTCTTTTTGATTTTTTTATATTAATATTATATTACATTCAATTGTTAACAGTAATTGGTGTTTTGATCTTACAAACACGTGCCATTTTTGTGGCGCAAACCAATCATATTTCAAAATTGCGTATAATGTAACATGAATGAAAAATTCAAATCAAACGTTCATTTTGCTAAAAAATTAGTTTAACTAGGATATAAGATGATATGAAATATTAAAGTATTTAGTTAACTATATAAACTAAAACTATATATAATATTATATAATAATTAATTATTGAAAATTTTTTTATATATCAGTATACTGTAATTAAAATGATTAACATCAAAGTATAATAGAATTAATATATATATATATTTTTTTTTTTTTTATTCTTTAACAGTCTTGTCAGAGCTCAAATATAAAATTTTACTAATTAAAACATTATTTATTTCTAGTAATCCATCTTTTAAGATTGCAAGCCTAGCATCATTCAAGTACAGAAACTGTATTCAAATACAACTTGTTGTACCAATCTATGTCTAAATTAGAAAACTTTGTTAGCTCTGTTAAGAACTGAACTAAAATAGATTAATTTCATTTTATATTATCTTATTAACATCTTTATTAAATAATTGCATATATTTTTTTTATTTTTAACTATTTTGATTTTACTTGATATATCTTTTTTATCTTTTTTTTTACTTTTGATTTTCTTTAAACTATAATTTTCATTTTTAGTTCTCTTTACTTTGCACCTCTTTGTTTTTAATATTATTCTATTTTTATCTTCTTATTCAATTACTGTTTTATATCTTTTCTATTATATTTCTTTTTTAAACATTTTTTTTTTTTAAATATTAAGGTGAGTACTTGCGACCCAGGATTTTATTGATAGTATATTTGGCTAATGGTTGCA